CACGCCTCGCCACGCCACGCCACGCCACGCCAACGCACGCGGGAATAAATAATGCAGGGACACTTCCCCACGGTTACCACTCCTCACTAGAGACGAATCCGAGGGGAGTGGCCCTTGGTACCATGACCCCCTCAACATAAAACTTTTTGGTATATTAAAAAAAATCTTTTCTCACAAGAAGGTTAACATGGTCTCACAACTTGCATCATTTCCATAGGTGCAACACAAAACGGTGCATTTTTCCACTAGTATGAGCGATAATTTTAAACTACCAATTAGAACATTATTTAATACAATTTGTGAGACCTAATAAATAATTTTTATAACAATTATTTTTTTTTAATTATCAGTGTTATCTTACATACATTGATTTAACATCAGCATTGAGTACATAATAACGAGCATTCGGGCCATTCACTGCCAGGAAATTAATTTTTTTACTCCCGCAAGAACGTAATGAAAACTCTTACAAATGAAACTATTATACTTCGATGTATAAAGCCTAGGACGTGTTTAATCAAATATAATGTTTGTTATCTGATTCCAAACTATGGAGGTGAATTAATGACCAAAAACTTTATTATAATATGTGAGGGAAGTCGCACCCGACCAACTACTTCTAAAAGAAACCTCTCAAAGAGTAAATACCATTATTTAAGTGTTCTTTTTACCTCAGTTCTAATTCCAAAGTAAATTCTTTTTTCTGAAGGTTCAAAAATATTATTTGTTCATATCTTCTCGCAAAATAAGTAGACACTTTTCATTAGAAGTGGCAGGTATATTGGAGGGATTTATAAAACAATGAGCTCAAAATTTAGTATATTAAACGCTATTAAATTATTATCCTATAGGGTTTGATATTAGATGAGAACTATAAAATTAAAGGAATACGCTATTTTACTCAAAGAAATGGAATTAAACTTTCAAAGATTAACTTGTAAAAATCTCAGGTAATCTCTTCTTAGGTATAGGAAATGAGATAAAGAAAATAGGATATTTAATTCCTCCAGAGTAGTATTTTTTTAAGATAAAATAATAATTGCATTACATTCGTGTTCAGTATGTCTGAAAAATAAGTATTGAAATCAATGTGTACCAGAAAAAATAAATGGATGGACTGTACTTACTAACCCTAACAAGGAATTATTCATATTCAATGCTCCATTATGCCATTATACGCATTGATCCCAACATTGTAAGTTTCCTGCAGGTCCAATTTAGGCCTAAGCTAACTATGATTTAGTAATCTTGCAAGTGAAAATTATAACAGATGACACCCAAAGAGTTTAAAACTTTACCAGAATTCACTGTTCAAAGGAAAGTTATTGAATTATTTTTCACTTTGTATTACATATAACCGACGAATCTGTCTGAGGGTACAAATACTACCTTTATCTGAGACACTGCTCGTTAATAGTACATTTAATTATTTACTGTGACTTCATATTTCTCCTGGAAGACACATCAAATATTCGTAGAAAAAACTTATCCACGATGCGTTATATTTAAATAAAAATGCTATAAATTTACCACTTTTTAAGCAATGTTTCACAATTTAAAATATATAAAATGTACTAGAAAATCATTTTCTTGCGCTCTTTTTTAAATATTATAATTTAGATTTACAAAGTTCAAATATTGAAATACTATTGTCTTTTAATAATTTTCTGAATGTATTTACGCTTGCCTTACCTGCAAGTCGTTAAAAGCTGCATCTCAGCCGGAACTTTCGTTAATCTGCAATAGAAATTAAAATAGTTTCAATTATCAAACCAAAAACTCTAGGTTTCACTGTTTTAAAATATGTTTTATTTTAATTTATTATTTTCAGCATATATGTATTGGTGAGGAGGGAACACAGTCATCTCCCAGGGAGAAACTTTCTTTCACCTCAGGAGATAATTTAAAACATTAGTTCAGGAAGTTACTCAACAATTATTCTTGTTTTCCATAAAATAATTTCAATTCCTCCAATTAATGACAACTTAAGAAAATAATTAATAGCTAATTCTGTAACAATTCTAAATATTAAATTTCAAGTGCCTACACAATAATAAAAAGTACTTTGACAATGTTGTTTTAGAACAGGAATGGAGAACGCTCATTCACAATAAAAAAAACTCACTCCGATAAAAATGTTTAGTAGCAAATTGAAATATTTATTTTAAAATTAAATACTCCAAGTCATATGCTTTACAATACATGATTATCGTATTCGGGTCTGATATGCAGTCTTAATTTAATCTTCAATGTTAAAAATACTTTAAAACATAGGCTATTTAGACTAAATAAACTTAAGTGGTGAATTATAAATGTGATATTAGAGTTAAATTATTCCTACATTTCACTTATGACTGACGGAAGATAATACACGATCACTTTGTAAATTGAAAATATTATTATTAAGAAAAACAGATATGCCGCACATCAGAGCCGAGATTAAAAAGTAAGGGATAAACATGTAATAAACCTTCTTAAAGACAATGCCAAAGAAGAAATACTTTGAAATGAAGTTTAAGAATTTACAAAATGGTTGTCAATTCGGACTTTAAGATACTAAATGATATCGCTGAACGGCTTTTTTGAATCACTGAGCACATTATGAATGATTCCATAGCATTTAACTGTACCTTCTTTTGTATCAAATAAAAAATGATAGTTCGAACGTTACCTGAAATTATACACGCCGTGACTTTTATATACGCATGTGACTATTTCAAAAAAACAAAATGATTTCTACAAATTTCCGTGTCACTCGGTAAGTACTCTCGGTGTCGTAAGGTTGAGTTGGCAAGCTCAGGTTGAAAATCCAATGAAATAATTATAGGCGTCGTCATCGCCATCAATATTAAAATGTAATATTGTTGGCAATGACGACGCATATAATTATTTCATTAGAAATGCCAACGATAACTCACCACAACACCTATATTGAAAATCCAAAACGAGGTCGCACGTCACAGAAAATATGATTGTATACTTTCTAAACCTGATGCATTCCGTTATCATACGAAGTATAACAAAATCATTCAAGAATATCAACTGTGGTACTGTAATCCACAATCCGCTCGTCTTGAAATTGTGAAGAGAAATTTCTTTACCCTAAATAAACATAAAGATTAAATAAAAATTTGACTACACCACACCCACAAGGTTTACTTTAAATATATCTAACTGTGTATTGAATAAGAATAATACTATTCAAAAATCTGTTTTTTAAGAGAACGATAGAGATCTCAACATGTTAATGACGCAATGACCAATCAGACCGTGACTTGAAAAGAATGGCTAATATCGGTTATACTGGAGCAATATGATTGAGGCTTTTATAGAAAGAACAATTTACGCCTGTACAAAAATTACTTCTTTAAAATAAAATAATTAAAGACGTCATTGCCAAAATATTATTTAATGCATTAAATAATAATGTTTGCAATGACGTCTTTAATTATTTTATGAAAAATGCCAAAGATATCACACCACAACACCTATACTTCTTTAAATTTAGTTATAGGTGAAAAAGAAAAGAAGGGGTAAAAAGAGAGGAGAGAAGGAGAGGTGGGGGTATAGTTTAAAGGTTTTAAGTTTTGTTTTATGCTTACCCGCGTTCCAGATACTCTTACCATTTTCACCTAATTCCTAAATTCCAGAAACCATAACAAAATTATTCTAAATAGAGACTGACTTAAAGTAAACGTTGAACAGTTTCTCCCGTGATATCACAACATTCAGTGCATTTTTTACCATAATTAAAATATTTAGTGTAAAAACATGAATACTACACCTCTATCCCAAAACTTTAAATTCAGGTATATGAGAACTGATAATGTATTTATTTCTTTAAAAAAATTATTACTGGAACAGCGTATGTTGGAAAAAATTTTCAGAAGACTTTGCAAGAATGAAATACTCCTCAGTGTGATGATTGTAAACCCAAGAAAGGGTTGCAAGAATCAACTGACAAGTTAGGATGAAATAAACAATGTCTGCCTTGTATTAAATTCCTGTTCATCTCCCCATCGAGATGACTCTGCGCCAAATATTAAACCGGGTTAAATGAAATCATTCTCTCTTTTGTTTATTAAAATTTAGTTTTAAAGGTTATTATGCTGGCTCAGGTGTTTTCTGTATCTTAGTTCGAATTCCATGATGGACAAACAGTTTTGCAATATAGAAACTCTTTTGCAGGTTTAAATTGTATAATTATATTACGTAACGATAACAAATAATTTAAAAAAGCCTGTGTTGTAAGATCGCTAGTTTTAATGGGAAAGATTGAAAGTTCGTAGTTTGAGACCTACATTACCAAGCACCTTTTAAGCGTGTTTTTCTCTTGTATATGTAATAACTCATTTTTGTTACAAAAGTGAACATTTTGAGTTCTATTTTGGGTTCCATGGGTTATTATTGTATTTATTGTTATATTATTATTATTACTATTGTCTTAAAATGTTTTATAATTACATTGAATTACTATTCCTAGATGTAACATGTAAATTGTAGTGTTCGGCCACCAGGTTGTATATATACCTGCAGAAATAATAAATCTGCCTGTCTATCTCTAAAAAGATTTCGAATACATCACAGAATTATCATATCAAAATTATTATCTATGTGTTTCTCGCAGTTTTTCTGCAGTTCATTTTATTTGCGAGTATTTCATGATTTCCGGTACCATTAGGCATTATTAAAACCGCACAATTATCAGACTAAAGTACACAAATTTGCATTCTTTTACGGGAACAATTCCTTCTAGGGAAGGTTTACCTCAATTACAAATTACTTCAATCTGCAGCAGTTTTTGAAAAATATTTTAATATTTCAATGTAATATTTTGAAAAGGAACCTAATAGAATTTAAAGGTAACGAGAAATACATTGTACGAACTATTCCTATGTAATTGTTTAAAAGTAAACACAGCAATTATTATTTAATAGTCTCATTAATATGTGTAACAGACTATTTAGTTCCCATACAAGATTAAACCATATATGCAACAATAATGTATCCAGTACGTTGAATGCTGTCTATGATTTACCATCAAGTAGAAAAATCTGGAAGTCAAAAAACATTTATTCAATAATTTAATTTATAGTGTTTCTAGAAATGTTTTCACGTTTTCTGATGAATTTGATATCAACACAATATTCCTGAGATATAAATTTTTTTTTCGTAAAAGAGTGCAATAAACCCTGTAATTGTAGATATACCTCGCCTTTTAACGGGATCTTGCATACTCGTAATACTAATAGCTAACACCTTTTGACTATTTAAAGAAGATTGTTCTTCTCAACACAGAAATTATAATTCAGTTATAGTATTGCATCACGAGTCAGGTTCTTGGAAATGAAAGAAAAGAGTGAGAGCAGAATCCGGATTTTGTACGTATCCGCCTACCTGGTGTGTCCCACAATGCATCCCGATTTGACAGCCAATAGCAAAACATCATGTATTATTTCATCGTGTCATTTAAAACCCCAAAAATCATGCCTCAATCTGCCTCCGGGCACACTAATTAATAATAGGCGTCAGACGATGCTCAATATTTGTGACGGGGTTTCGGCGATATTCTGCTGGTTTCGACGGTTATTTCACATAGCTGTGATTTAGATTCAGTATATTTACTGCGGCCAGTGCGCCCGAACGTACACGGGATGCGAGGACTGTGCAGACCGCGTTTTTAGTGCCACATTCGAGATTTTGGCAATTGACAAATCCTCCTCTTCAGCAATGAATCATCTAATTACAGCGATTCCTTTTACGAACTCAATTAACATACTAATGTAACAAATCAAAATTGTTGTCATACATGAAAAGGAGTGAAACATGGTTGTGACCTGCAGCTGGTGGACATATAAAAAGTTACAGATGCGTATTTAATACACCGAATAATAACTACACAGCGGAAAATAATAATATTGCGTAAAAGTAAATTTTTCAGCTATTTGTGTTTTTATCCACGTATGTCACGACTTCCGGCATTATTACGCATATGGCCTAATTAAAAAAATATATAAGACTAAAATAGTAAAGTACACAAATGTTCATTCTTCTACGAGGACAATTTTAAAATATGTAACTATTGTGAAGTGTTATCCTAAAAATAAGAAATTTATTTACTTAAAATCAAAATAAAGTTTCTTTTCATGATACAGTACAACATCAATTAAATTACATTTCATTTGTTTCCTTTTGTGGAAACCGCGAAGAGAACTTTCCAAAATAAGTGGGTCAACAAGTATGGACTCACCGCACCAAATATTTTAATTCACGGATTCCATTTTATTTTAATTCAAGAAACTCTTAGACTAAAGGCTCTTCCGAAAAATACAAATTAGATAAGAAAAATCTAACATGGTTAAAAAAAGGATGTGAGGAGGCAGTTAAAGAATACAAGCATTTATATAATATTTGTAAAAGGCACAATACAGATGAAAATAAAATTTGGGTTAAATTTGTTGAGCAAAACCAAGAAGAATAATCGAGGAAGCCAAAAAAGTGTTGAAGAAAATTTATTTCATGTATAAACTTAAATATGAACAGCAAAGTAGTATCATGGAATAAAATAAACGCTATAAATGGAAAGCAAAATGCCTACCATAAGTTCGATATACTCCTCTAATAGCACTAACATGCAAGATCCACGGGATATAGCCAGCTTTGGAAAGTGATTTGCATCAAATTGCAGCGATCAGAACTATGAAAAAGGCAATGTTAAATATAAATAAAATCAGAAT